ATATAATAATAATCCTTGCATTTGATATAGCGCTTTCCACGTCTTCGAGACGTCTCAAAGTACTTCACAGAATATACTGTAAAGTCGATTGACTGTGTATTTGTGGGTGAAACGTGGCATCCAGTTGGGCACAGCGGTGTCCCACAAACAGTCATGGATTGAAGTGACCAATTCATTATTATTTTGTCTTGGAGGGATTATTATTAGGCTGTGTGTGGAGTGAGGAAACTTGCCCAAGGTTTCACCCTGACCTGCCGGGAATCGAACACATGTGTCTCGCTTGTGAGGCGAGTGCTCTAACCACTGAGCTACAGGACTCCACTGTGTGTACAGGTGTGTGTGTGTGTGAGGGAGAGTTGATGCTGTATCACTCCCACAACCTGATCAGCCAATAGCCTCAGCCCTGACTGTGGACCACAGGCTGTACTGAGAGAACAATACAATACAACTGGAGCCCACACCCCTTCTCCCCACCTCCCTTTCCCCCCCTCTCTCTGCCTCCTCACCCTATCTCTTTCTCTAAGGTCATTGTAATTCACAGCAGCTGTGGCACCAGCCCAACCCGAGCCCGAGACATAGCCTCAGCTGTTGTCAAGTGGGGACAGGGTCTGTTCACTCACAATCGAACTGTTTGTTTCATAATAATAATAATAATCCTTGCATTTGATACAGCGCCTGATCACGTCATCGAGACGCCTCAAAGCGCTTCCCAGGATACCTGTAAAGTGAATTGATTGTGTATTTGTATTTTGTGAGTGAAACGCAGCAGCCAGTTGTGCCAAATGACATCCCCACAAACAGTTGTGGATTGAGTGACTGCATTTTTTTTGCCCCGACCAGGTCCTCTCGTTTGCGAGGCGAGGGCTCTAACCACTGAGCCACAGGACATCTGTGATTCGGTTTGAAAAGTCTCAAAACTGGAAGGGCAGACCAGTCATGGGGGGCAGTTAACCCTGTTAACCCTGCAAGTCAAAGCCCTAATGGGTAGGATGGTTCTAGCTGGACAAGCAGCGGGAAAGCTGGGCCTGACAGAGATACCAACGGGCAAGTTACGCAGTTTTAGCTGGTTAGATTCCAGCAGTTACCCCAACACACACTCTGGGGTCCCCAAGCTTAGATCAACACAGAGGTAATAATAATAATTATCCTTGCATTTGATAAAGCAGCTTGTCACATTGTTGAGACGTCTCAAAGCGCTTCACAGGAGTCTGGGAATGGAGCCAGCCCTCTGTGACAGTATCTAGTCAGGTTTCTGAGCCCGGGAGGTATGCAGGAGTCCAGGGCACTCACTGCTGACGGTTCTATATGTAAAAGCCAAGCATTTGAGTCGAGAGGCTCGTGTCACTGTCAGGTCTCTCGCTCTGCGTCTCTCTTTTCTGTCTCACACACGGGGTCAGTCACATGACATCTGTAAAAGCCATCCTGTATACGTGATTAATGTGGAATGATTTTCATCTCATGACCCCAGGAGACCTTGTTCTATTTCCTGCTCCTTGTGTCAGTCTGACTCAGTCGCTGTGGGTCAGCCTGGCTCAGTCTCTGTGTGGGTCAGCCTGGCTCAGTCGCTGTGTGGGTCAGCCTGGCTCAGTCGCTGTGTGGGTCAGCCTGGCTCAGTCGCTGTGTGGGTTAGCCTGGCTCAGTCGCTGTGGGTCAGCCTGGCTCAGTCGCTGTGGGTCAGCCCGGCTCAGTCGCTGTTTGTGAGCCTGGCTCACTCAGTTCAAGCCCCCACATCAGGAGGACGTGGAATCACACAGTCTAAACCTGATGTTCCAATGCAGCTGCCTGTTTGTGGGACGCTGCTGTGCGTAATTGGATGCCGCGTTTCACCCACAAAATACAGTCAATCCACTCCACAGTCTATTCTGTGAAGTGCTTTGAGACGTTTCAATGACAAGGCGCCAAATCAAATGCAAGGTTTATTATGATTATTATCATTATATTCTCATGGTGACGTTGCTTTGCCCGGACACAGTTGGGAAGTTCATGCTGGAGTGGGAGAGAGGGAGAGGAAGTTTCCGGCTCTGGGAAAAACCTTTTCCCGAGGCAACGAGGCCCGGATGTGACAGGGACACACACTCGGAGCTGCTCGGCTTATCTTTGTGGGGGATGAGATTGATTGTAAATGACAGATGGCTGATAATTACAGACTGGGAGGGAGAGCGGGCAAGACGGGGAGCGGCAAACAGCCATAAAGAGACTTCTGAGCGAGACACAGAGGCTGATTATACTCCGGCAGCTGAGAGAAAGCCGTTACTGTCAATGTGTCATTAAACACCGGCTTTGCTTTGTGTCACCGTCTGGCTCCGGTCCTGCCACACAGAGCGTTATAATGTCGCCATGGAAACCCCAGCATCCCAAACATACCAGTGCCCCAACACTTTGTAATCCAAATCCGAACGAGCACGCACACACATATACACACACACGGTCACACACACGCGCACACATATACACACACACGGTCGCGCACGCACGCGCATATACACATGGTCACACACATATGCGCGCACACATAAGCACACACTTACATTCACGCATAACACACATACACACGTGCGCACACAATGATGATAATAATCCTTGCATTTGATACAGTGCCTTATCACGTCTCAATGCGATTTACAGGATACACTGTAAAGTGAACTGACTGTATAATTTGTGGGTGAAACGCGGCAGCCAATGGTGTATAGCAGCGTCCCCACAAACAGCTGTGGATTGAGTGACCAATTTATTAGTTTTTTTGAAGGTTTATTATCCCCACAAAGATGATCTGCCAATTGACTATCGAGCAGGTTCCCACTGATGCCTCGGTCAACAGAGGCGTGTGTTTGGAGTAAGGAAACTTGCCTCAGGTCTCACCCTGACTTTACAAAGTCTCTGAGGAGGATATAGCACAATATCGCACTCCAGTGAAAGTCAAACATGATTTTTAATCCCACTAAGAAAGCGCTTTGAGGCGTCTCGAAGACGTGATAAGGCACTACATCAAATGCAAGGCTCGTTATTATGATAATGTGCAGTACCCAGTCTCCACCAGCAGGTGACACTGTCGAGTAGATTTCAGACCCCCCCCCACCTTGTAAAAAATAAAGCAACAGCGCCCCCTGTAGCCAAGAAACTCTACAGCAACACCCAGCACTCACTGCACAATGTGGGAATGGAGCCAGTCCTCTATGACGGTCTCTATCCCGAGTCCTGAGCCGGGCAGTATTCCAGGGCATTGCAGCCTCTCTGCACATTGGGTTTCCTTCCCCTTCCCGCTGATCCGAGGAGAACATCTGGGAGTTTAAGGAGAGAATGTCCTGGGGCATGGCAAGAGCTCTGAGCCTCTTCAACTTCTCTGCGCTATTTTATCCCCCTCAACAACAACAACAAAATGACATGTATAGAGCGCCTTTCATGTCGGGAGGACGTCCCAAAGCGCTGAACAGTCAGGTGTTGGGGGCCGAGCATGGGGGAGGGGTGAGGGAAGGCAGAGAGGTGGGAGGGAGACCAAAGGCACAGTCGAAGAGAAGGGTCTTGAGACCAGCCTTGAAGGAGGTGAGGGAGGAAGCGAGGCAAAGGGACTGTGGGATAGAGTTCCTGAGTGTGGGGTCAGAGAGGCTGAAAGCCCGGCCACCGATGGTAGGGCAGGAGACATGGAGCAGACCCCAGCCCGCTGAACAGAGGGAGCGGGCAGGCTCCTAGGGAGTCAGCAGGTCAGAAATGTAGGAGGGGGCAAGGCCATGGACGAGAATCTTGAATTTGATCCCCTGGGGATGGGGAGCCAGTGGAGTCGGGTGAGGGTGGAGTGATGGGGTCACGGAGACTGGTGCACGAGAGTACACGAGCTGCAGAGTTTTCGATGATCTGCAGCTTGTGAAGGGAAGAGTTGGGAAGGCCGATGAGGAGGGAGTTCCCATAATCGAGCCTTGATATGATGAATGCGTGGGTGTGGGTTTCAGCAGCGTGAGGGGTGAGGCAATGGCGGAGTCTGGCAACGTTGTGGAGGTGGTGGTAGGCAGTGCCGGTCATGGCACAGATGTGGGGAAGAAAAGACAGTTCAGGGTCGAACAAGATACCCAGGTTCCTGACTGGCTTAGTGAGGTTCACTGTGCAGCTGTGGATGCTGATGCTGCCAGCGCAGGAGGTGCAGAGGTGCAGACCGGTTCAGCCTCCGCGCTGTCGTGGAATAACCTCAATCTGCAGGTGGTGGTGTGCGGGTTACTTGTTTAACAGGAGGTCAGTGATGGGTGAATATGTGTTGACACCCAATTAGACTGGGGTGTACGCATAGCGGACAGGGCAAGGGGAACTCACAAGGGTAAGGGGAAGCTGGCAATCTTTATTTCGCAGCTCACTGTTTGTTCCCCATTCACTGAACTGTTGAAGGTGCAACTTTCAGCTGTGACCTGACCTGGGATTGATGCCCTTGGTGACTGGGGCTGAGACAGTGTGTGACCACAATCATTGCAAACAACACATGACATTGACACAGCACCTGCCTGCCCACTCCCTTCATTCAGTGGGCTCCGGCCTGCTCCACATCTCCCACCCGACCCGCCCTACCATCGGTGACCAAGCTTTCAGCCTCTCTGCCGCCACACTCTGGAACTCCATCCCACAATCCCTTCGTCTCGCTTCCTCCCTTGCCTCCTTCAAGGCCGGTCTCAAGACCCTCCTTAAAGGGATTTGTAGGTGAGGGTAGAGCACTCGCCTCGCTTGCTCTACCCACTGAGCTATAGGACTACAGCACACATCAAGACTGGAGGCCTTTATAATCATCTCAACAATCACACACAGTGAGATCAGGAACAAGACTTGCCCGACAGCCATCGCGCTATATTTAGATCCCAGCTAGATCCTGCCAGATGCCGGTCACCAGCTTCTCTTGAGAAATAAACATCCTCCAAAACTGCCAATGTAACCAGTTTCGATTCCATAAAAACAGATGGTGATGGAGCGGCTCCTACACAAACTCCTCCCTCCCTCCCCCACCCCCCTCCCACCCCGTGGAGGGTGGGAGTCAGGGTGGGGAGTATTAAAGAGCCCTGAGAAGCCAGAGCCCCCCAGAGCTCTCAGCAGGTCCCAGGATCAGCGGGAAAAAGAAGAAACCAAAAGTGCCGAGAATCCGCAGGTATTATAATATAGTAATGATAGTTACAATATAGTAATAATATAATAATATAGTAATACTATAATATAATAATATAATAGTATAATTGTAATGATTATATAATAGTAATATAGTTATAATATAATAATTGCACACGATGGGTCGAATGACCTCCTTCTGTGCTGTAAGATTCTATGATTCTATATAATTGTAATAATATAATAATCCTTGAATTTGATGTAGCGCCTCGTCACGTCTTGGAGAAGTCTCAAAGCGCTTCAACAACAACAACAACAAGATTCCATTTATAAAGCGCCTTTCACGTCAGGAGGACGTCCCAAGGCGCTGCACAGTTGGGTCAGGACCGGAGCATTGGGGGAAATGGTCAGGGTGAGGGGAGGGAAGGGAGGGAGCGAGGAGGGGGAAGAGAGTCGAGAGGGGAGTTGAAGGCTCGGTCAAAGAAAAAGGTTTTGAGACCGGCCTTGAAGGAGGAGAGGGAGGAAGTGGCGAAGGCACTGGGGATGGAGTTCCAGAGCCTGGGGGCTGAGAGACTGAAGGCCCGACCACCGATGTTAGGGCGATTGGGGCGGGGGACGTGGAGCAGACCGGAGCCAGAGGAACGGAGGGTACGGGCAGGTAGGTAGGGGGATAGTAGGTTGGATAGGTAGGAGGGAGCGAGGCTGTGGATGGCCTTATAGGTGAGGATGAGGATGCTGAATTCGATCCTCTGGGGGATGGGGAGCCAGTGGAGGCGAGCGAGGGTGGGTGTGGTGTGGTCGCGGTGTCTGGTGCGGGACAGTACACGAGCTGCAGAGTTCTGAATGACCTGCAGTGTGGAGGGAGGTGGCGGGAAGGCCGGCGAGGAGAGAGTTCCCATAGTCAGTAAACAGTAAACACAGAAAACATACTCTCACTTGCAGATCCGACTGTCCATCCAGCACCTTGGGATATCCTCCCGACATGAAAGACAGGCGCTGTGTCAATGTAATGCGTTGTTTGCAATGATTGTGGTCACACACTGTCTCAGCCCCAGTCACCAAGGGCATCAATCCCAGGTCAGGTCACAGCTGAAAGTTGCACCTTCAACAGTTCAGTGAATGGGGAACAAACAGTGAGCTGCGAAATAAAGATTGCCAGCTTCCCCTTACCCTTGTGAGTTCCCCTTGCCCTGTCAGCCATGCATACACCCCAGTCTAATTGGGTGTCAGCGCATATTCACCCATCACTGACCTCCTGTTAAACAAGTAACCCGCACACCACCGCCTGCAGATTGAGTTTATTCCACGACAGCGCAGAGGAGGATAAAGTAGCCAGAGCAGCCAAGAGGCTTAGAGCATTCACCATGTCCCAGGACAGTATCTACGCAAACGTGCAAAACTTTTGCTCACATCAGGGGGAAAAGAATGGAAATCCAAATTGCCAAGAAAATACAAGTTTGTGCAGACACAGACACAAACACACACACTCACACACCACATACCACACAACACACACACACAGATGCACACCGAGATACACACACACAAGCAAACGGCAGATTATTGAGCTATCATAATAATATAATCCTTGCACTTGATAGAGCGTCTCATCGCGTCTTCGAGACGTCTCAAAGCGCTTCACAGGATACAAAAAGCGGCTCATGCACACAGAGCAAACACTAAATCCCACAAATATACAGTCAATTCACTTTACAGTGTGTTCTGTGAAGCGCTTTGGGATGTCCTCCCGACGTGCAAAGCGCTATATCAAATGCAAGGATTATTATTAATAAATCAGAAAGTACAATGTGGAGTTGTGGAGTCCTGTATCTCAGTGGTTAGAGTGGTCGCCTCGCAAGCGAAAGGACCTGGGTTAGATGCCCAGATGGATCAGGACAAAACCTTTGGCAAGTTTCCTTACTCCACACACACGCCTCCGTTTACCTAGAAGTTAGTTCACTTGTTAGTCGGTTTCGACCACAAAATATACAGTCAATTCACTTTACAGTGTATTCTGTGAAGCTCTTTGAAGACGTGATAAGACGCTATATCAAATGCAAGAATTATTATCACTATTATTGTTCTGATCACTTTATAATCTGCCGTTTGTTTGTGTCCTGCAGAAATCATGAGGATGGACAAGCTGGAAGAGGAATATGACCACAGCCCCAGCAGGAAGAGAAGTGAGTGATTTGTCTCTAAAACACAAGCTTTGGAGTGGGCTCATATCTTGTTCTTTACTGTCATCTCTTTGCCTCTCGCTCTCTTTACTAACCTGTCACGTAGTTATAGAATCATAACATTTACCGCAGAGAAAGAGTCCTGTAGCTTAGTGGTTAGAGCACTCACCTTGCAAGTCAGAGGACCTGGGTTCATCCTGACTTTCAAAGCCCTCCACGGTCTTGCTTCTCCCTACCTCTGTAACCAGCTAACTCCACATGGACTTGGCCTGCTCCATATTCCCTGCCTGACCCAGCCCACCATCAGCAGTCTGGATTTCAGCCTCTCTGCCCACCCTTTGGAACTCCATCTCACAGTCCCTCGAGGCCTTCCTTGCCTCCTTCAAGGTACATCTCAAGCCTTTCCTCTTCGACCGCGTCTTCAGCCACCCTCCTACCCCAACCCTCCCCGCCCTCCTCCCCTCCTTGATCCCAACCTACAGCTCAGGTGTGGATGCCTGACTGTTCAGTGACTTGGGACATCCTCCTGCTGTGAACGGCGCTGTGTAAATGTAGTATGTTGTCGTTGTTCTAGTTATTGTTGTGGTTATGTTTACCAGAGTCCAGGTTAACCTCAGCCTTTCTTTCTTTCACAAGATTTCACCGGGAGGATGATCAGTGACAGGAAGACCTCTCTGTTTCTCTGGACCATGCTGGGTCTCGGAGTTTCTCTGGTCCTGCTCATTCTGATAGTGGGAGCAGTACAGAGTAAGCAGCTGTATTCCCATCATTCCCAAGGAGTCCTGTAGCTCAGTGGTTAGTCCACTCGCCTCACAGTGAGAGACCTGGGTTCGATTCCCGGTCAGGGCAAAATGTTGGGATAGTTTCCTTACTCCACACACGCGCCTCTGTTTACCAGCAGTAAGTAGGAACCCGGTTGTTAGTCGATTGGCAGATCGCTTTTCTGGGGGTAATAATTCCTTCAAAAAAATAATAAATTGATTACTCAATTACTGTTTTGTGGGGACGCTGCTGTGCGCAATTGGCTGCCACATTTCGCCCACAAAATATAGTCATTTCACTTTACAGTATATGCTGTGAAGCGCTTTGAGACATGATAAAGCACTGTACCAAAAGCAAGCATTATTATTATCGTTATCACTAGCTCAGCTCTCAGTCAGTGACCAACTGAGACTATTAAAGCTCCTGTAACCTTGTCCTCACAGCCATCACATCAATGATCTTTTCAGTTTCAGCCACGATGTTGCAGACACAGAAGGGGTTTGAGTCGATGACCAGAGACTCTCAGATACAATCAAACTGTGAGTGAATCCTGATGACATGATAAGGCGCGATATCAAATAAAAGGATTATTATTGTTATATATGAGCTAATCTCTAGTTTCGCAGTTTCAGCGATGTCACACAAATGAATGGCGCGAAACTCATTCAACGGAGGAACTTTCTCAGATCAGAAACAATGGAGAGAAAGACGTTATACAATGTAAATTTGTAAATTATTGACCTCCCTGTTAATATAAGAAAAATACAATACAAAATGACATTCACACAGCGCCTTTCATGTTGGGAAGACGTACCCAGGCACTGTAGTCAGGGATTTGAACCCGAGGTAGGGATCGTGGAGGGTAGGAGGGTTAAGTTGGCTGAAGGTGCAGTCGATAATAATAATAATTTGGTCACTTAATCCAAGATGGTTTGTTGGACACTACTGTGCGCAATTGGCTGGTGCGTTTCGCCACAAACCACACAGTCACTACACATGACCTTATATCCTGTGAAGCACTTTGAGACGTCTCGAAGACGTGATAAGGCGCTGTATCCAATACAAGGAATATTATTATTTATCATTATTGTAATGTTAAACCCTTTCACTTCACAGTAACTGCACAGTTGGAGATGCACCAAAGTAACTTCGTGGGTGAACTGTCTAAGGTGAAAGACATGGGTAAGGAGTGTCGACAGTTTCTGGTCGTGGGTCTCGGTGAGAATGATGGTGAACTAGTTTGTCAGGAGCCCAAACCTGACCTCCCTCAGCCTTCTGTTCTCTCTAAAGTCTGCAGACCCCCTCCCTCCCTCCCCATCCCCCACAATTAAACACCATACCTTGATCTTTCTCCATCCCAGCACTGATCGTCTCCTCTCCTCTATGGCTCTGTCCTTTTATCTAAGAATCTGTTGAAATAGTGCAGTCCTGTAGCTCAGTGGTTAGAGCACTCACTTTGCAAGTGAGAGACCTGAGTTCAATCCCCGGGGGGTCAGGGCCAAACCTTGGGCAAGTTTCCTTACTCCACACAGAGCCTAATAATAAACCCTCCAAAACCCAAAACAATAATAAATTGGTCATTTTCAATCTACGATTGTTTGTGGGACATTGCTGTGCGCAATTGGCTGCCGCGTTCGCCCACAAATATAGTCATTTTACTTTACAGTATATGCTGTGAAGCGCTTTGAGACATGATAAAGCACTGTACCAAAAGCAAGCATTATTATTATCGTTATCACTAGCTCAGCTCTCAGTCAGTGACCAACTGAGACTATTAAAGCTCCTGTAACCTTGTCCTCACAGCCATCACATCAATGATCTTTTCAGTTTCAGCCACGATGTTGCAGACACAGAAGATGGGGTTTGAGTCGATGACCAGAGACTCTCAGATACAATCAAACTGTGAGTGAATCCTGATGACATGATAAGGCGCGATATCAAATAAAAGGATTATTATTGTTATATATGAGCTAATCTCTAGTTTCGCAGTTTCACCGATGTCACACAAATGAATGGCGCGAAACTCATTTAATGGAGGAACTTCCTCAGATCAGAAACAATGGAGAGAAAGACGTTATACAATGTAAATTTGTAAATTATTGACCTCCCTGTTAATATAAGAAAAATACAATACAAAATGACATTCACACAGCGCCTTTCATGTTGGGAAGACGTACCCAGGCACTGTAGTCAGGGATTTGAACCCGAGGTAGGGATCGTGGAGGGTAGGAGGGTTAAGTTGGCTGAAGGTGCAGTCGATAATAATAATAATTTGGTCACTTAATCCAAGATGGTTTGTTGGACACTACTGTGCGCAATTGGCTGCTGCGTTTCGCCCACAAACCACACAGTCACTACACATGACCTTATATCCTGTGAAGCACTTTGAGACGTCTCGAAGACGTGATAAGGCGCTGTATCCAATACAAGGAATATTATTATTTATCATTATTGTAATGTTAAACCCTTTCACTTCACAGTAACTGCACAGTTGGAGATGCACCAAAGTAACTTCGTGGGTGAACTGTCTAAGGTGAAAGACATGGGTAAGGAGTGTCGACAGTTTCTGGTCGTGGGTCTCGGTGAGAATGATGGTGAACTAGTTTGTCAGGAGCCCAAACCTGACCTCCCTCAGCCTTCTGTTCTCTCTAAAGTCTGCAGACCCCCTCCCTCCCTCCCCATCCCCCCACAATTAAACACCATACCTTGATCTTTCTCCATCCCAGCACTGATCCTCTCCTCTCCTCTATGGCTCTGTCCTTTCATCTAAGAATCTGTTGAAATAGTGCAGTCCTGTAGCTCAGTGGTTAGAGCACTCACTTTGCAAGTGAGAGACCGGAGTTCAATTCCAGGCAGAGGGCCAAACCTCGGGCAAGTTTCCTTACTCCACACAGAGCCTAATAATAATCCCTCCAAATCCAAAAACAATAATAAATTGGTCATTTTCAATCTACGACTGTTTGTGGGACATTGCTGTGCGCAATTGGCTGCCGCGTTCGCCCACAAATATACAGTCAATTCACTTTACAGTGAGTTCTGTGAAGCGCTTTGGGACGTCCTCCCGACGTGAAAAGCGCTATATCAATTGCAAGGATTATTATTATTATTATTAAATAAGCCTCTGACCCTCTGGTTAATCGCTGGTTTCTCAGTTTCAGCCATTTCCACACAGATGAAACAGATCAACGTTGATTTAATGGAGGAAGTTTCTCATATCAGAAACGGTGAGAATGCAACTCTCTGGTCATACATTCAATGTCTGAGCGCAATTGGCTGCCGTGTTGTACCGATGGTTATAGAAACTATGTTTGTTTTAATTAATATTATTATCATTATTATAGCTCTGCAACACTTTCCCTTCATACTTAATTTGTTGTTGTTGTTGACCTCCCTGTTAATGTGGATCCCTTTCACTTCCCAGTCAGCGCACAGTTGAAAAGACACCAGAATAACCTCATGGATGTTATGTCTGAGATGAAAGACGCAGGTAAGGACAGTGGACAGTCCTAGGTTGTGTGTGTTGGTGTCAAATGTCAGGGCAGGTCAGGCTGGACCTGGAGTACTGCATACAGCTCTGGTGACTGTGTTACTGCGAGGAGATGCTGGCAACAGAGAGGGCACAATTACTGATATTGTGGAGTCCTATAGCTCAGTGGTTACAGCACTTGCCTCGCAAGCGAGAGGTCCCGGGCAGGGCACAGCCTAAGGCAAGTTTCCATACTCCACACACACACGCACTACTACTTTTAGAGAAACTCCTCTTCTCCTTTCTAATAGCATCGCAGGATCTTTAACGTCCACCTGAACAGGCAGACGAGGAGCTCAGTTTAACATCTCATCCAAAGGACGGCACCTCTGACAATGCAACACCCCCCCGGCTCTGCTTTGGAGCATCAGCTTAGACTGTATGAGTTCAAAGGCATGACATGAGGGTTTAACCCTCAAACAGCTGACTTGGGGGCGAGAGTGCTACCAACTGATCTAGGCTGACGCATACAGACAAACACACACACACACGTGCACAAACTGTGTTATAAGACATATTTTAAAAGATTGTACAGCATTTTTTCCCTTGATTCCCGATTCCCAGGATTGATAAAGCAGCTGTGCCCCAAGGCCTGGCTGAATTTCAATAAAAAGTGTTATTATTTCCTAAACAATTCGCTTACCTGGGAAAACGCAAAGGACACTTGTTCTGGGAAGCAGGCACACCTCGTCGTAATCAACAATATCGCTGAACAGGTAAGGAATATGGTTACACTTCACCCTTGGGAAGATGGGGGAAGAGGAGGGTGGGAGGTAAGCAGGGTCTCCTCGGAGCTGAACTGGCAATGGAAAGTGGGAATTGAGCCCCCCCCCTCTGTGGCGGTCTCTAGTCCGGTTCCTGAGCCAGCAGTATTCCAGGGCACTCACTGCTGATGCCAGCCCGGCCCGGCCCGGCCCATCCTGAGCACTGCATTGGAGCATCAGCTTAGAGTCTACTGTGTGATTCCAAGTCCTACAGTAGAAGAGTCGATGTGACACCAATTCCTCACCGCATTCCTGCGTCTTGTCACACTTGTCACAGGTAGAAAAATGTAAAACCAAAAATTACAACTTTCTAGATACTTTTCAGGATAAAAAAAGGTTTCTCATTTATTCTCTAACCTTTTAAATACCATCTTTGCAGCTATTTTTAAGCTTAGGCAACTCCCGTGAAAACTGGATCGGGCTGAGTGACATTGAAAAGGAAGGTCAATGGCAATGGGTCGACGGCACAAGTTACGAGTTGACACCCAAGTAAGGAACACGAGAGTCTGTGGTACTGTGCAGTCCTGTAGCTCAGTGGTTAATCCATTCGCATCGCAAGCGCGATACCTGGGTTTGATTCCAGGACGAAATACTGGGCAAGTTTCCTTACTCCACACACACGCCTCTGTTTACCTAGCAGTAAGTAGGAACTTGGTTGTTAGAAGCTCTTTGAGATGTCTTGAAGACGTGATAAGGCGCTATATCAAATGGAAGTATTATTATATTGTTATTGATGACTGCTCATTGCTCAGCTGACAATTATAGTAATTCTTACATTTGATCTATCAGTGGGTTGTCAGCCTGGCTCAGTGGGTAATGCTCTCATCTCCCAGTCAGAAGATTGGGTTCAATCTGATGCTGATAACAACACAGCCCGGCCTGGCTCATTGGCAGGACCTGGAAGGGCCGACCAGACACTGGGGGCAGGGAATCCTCTCCCTCAGCTCCTGTTAACCCCGCAGCCAAAGCTCTAACTAACAAGTAGGGTGGTCCTAGCTGGACAAGCAGTGGGAAAGCTGGCCAGACAGCGAATATCAATAGCAAGTCATGTGGTTTTACTTGGTTAGACTCGAGCAGTTACCCCATCGCATGCTCTGAACTCCCCCACCCAGCCTTGGCTCTTGGTAACCTGCACCTAATACTTTCTGGAATTAGGTAACCAGGATGCTTCCCTCCAGGAGGAGAGAGAACATTCCATTCCAACAACTTATCTCTGGGATTTCCATGGGTGGGTGGGATGCCGGGAATTCTCAGTCTGGTTTGGAGATTTGTACGCACGGTGATGGGTTTCTGTCTGTGTCAGAAACTGACCCCTCCCCCAAAAAAAATAATGAACATTGTTCTCGGTCTTTAAAAGGCACTGGAAAGCTGGAGAACCCAACGATAGCAACAATGCCGAAGACTGCGCTTGCCTCGCAACCACAGGCAAATGGAATGACATTCCCTGTCACTTGAAGAAGACCGCGATCTGCGAGAGGAACGAATGGGTCGCTGAGCAGTGATCTGAAAATGGAAATGAACCAAAATGATCTCCTCTGAGAACATTGCCTGCTGAGATCTCTCTGTACAATAAACACAATAATCACATTTGTGAAGCGCCTTAAGCATCGGGAGGATGGACCTCCCAAGGTATGATAGCTTTATAACAGTAATGCTAAATAAAACTCCCAATAGTCAGATACCACACCACCTGTCTCTCTCTCTCTCCCTTTCTCTGTGGTCTCTCACTCTATCTCTCTCTGCATGTGAAGGTCTCCCCACCTCTCTCTCCCTCTCCCTCTAGGGATTAAGCAGCTGATGTAAACAGGAGTAAGCCTGATACCCGGCATTGGACTTGGACTTGAGAACATTAAGGTGGCTGCACGTCACAAGCTGTCCTGTAAAGGTCCTCCCTCCCCCCACACTGAAGGCAATGCCCCCCAGATAGCTGATGCTTCCCTCCAGAGAGAGAAAGAGAGCATATTCCATTTTGACAATCTACTTTTGGGATTTCCATGTGTAAGTGGGATGCAAAACGCTGAGAAAGTTTCCTTACTCCACATCCCTCTGTTTACCTAGCAGTAAATAGGAACCCGGTTGTAAGTCGATTGGCAGATTGCTTTTCCGGTGGTAATCCTTCAAACAATAAAAAATAAATAATAATTTGGTCACTCAATCCACGACTGTTTGTGGGAAATAAAAACAGAAGTTGCTGGGAACACTCAGCAGGTCAGGCAGCATCTACGGAGAGAGGAAAGTGAGTTAACATTTCAGATCGATGACTATTTATGGGACATTGCCTACAAAATATATAGTCAATTCACTTTATAGTATATTTTGTGAAGCCCTTTGAGACGTCCCAAAGACGTGATAATGTGCTGTATCCTCAAATGCAAGAATTATTATAATAAATACTGAACCTTTAGTTAGGACTGAATGAAATAATCTCCACAACGCAGTAGGGCAATAAGGAGTGGTGGCTATGATAGCACTCACTACCCTGTCTTACATACATCACAGGGCTCCCAGCACACAGTCAGCAAAGTCTCACCACCCACACACCACCCACACAAAGACACAAAGACACAAAACATACCAGGAAAAGTGCTTCCTCCAACTCACAAATGCATTTAGAAAAAAAACTAAAGGGCTTTTAATTTGTAAGTAAAATGTCTTTTAAAACACAAAACATAAGTAATGTTCAGACACAAGAGATACAAACATTTATCCAAAGGTGGCAAAAAAAAGAGAAGTTTAGTGTGTGGGCGTATTAGTGATAATCTGTAGGGCCATGGGGGTGTGTGTGGGTGTGTGTGTGAGTATGTGTGAGGGGGGTGTAGGAGGGGGTGTGGAGCAAGTCTGCGTGTATGGGAGAAGTCACAGCAAGACGGGACTCCCATCCAGTGGAATGCACAGATTTAACATAAACGCTTTCAATAAATACAATGGTGTGGGCTCCCATCCAACCAGTGCTTGTCTTGTCTCGGCCAAGTATTAAGATATCCCAGTCACTTTTTAATCACATGGCATTCTCTAGAAGTCCAGAAATTCCTTGGAACATTTGTTGGTGACAGACACTCGGACCTCCTCTTCTTCATAGTCGTCAAAGTTGCTGGAGTCGCCGGGACCTTTGTACTTTGGTATAAAAGGAGGTTCAACCTGTAGAGAGAGAGAGGTAGAGAATCCAGTTAAAACCATGTCACGTAGTAATGTACCTAACTCCCTCCCCATCGTGATGCTGACACTAATCCCACCACAGCTCCGACAGCGACAATACATGTCCCCAACCCCTCCCTCGCCTCCTTCATGACCCTCCTCTTCGACCTTGCCTTCAGTCACCCTCCTACCCACACTCTCCCCGCCCTCCAGTCCCTCCTGATCCCAACCCCCAGCTCGGGTGCAGATCCCTGACTGTCCAACGCCTTGGGACGCCCTCCTGACATGAAAGGCCAGTGCTGTGTAAATGTCGTTGGCTGATGTTGATGTTGTGACGACTCAACACACCAGTCAACAAAGCACCAGATCAGCTCAGATGAACAAGGCCGTTCGGCCCATTTGATCTCATCCTTCAAGACGCTCCACTCCTCCATCTCCACATCACAGCATCAATGAGTCCCAGCACGCTAGCCCCCACCCCTTTCCTGGCAACCTGTTCCAGTCGTTAATTACCCTCCTGTTAAAGAAACACTTCCTGGTATCTGTCCTGATATTGCACCGTTATAGCTCATTATTATTATCACAACTCTAAACCCATTTGTAGGTGAACATTAAAGCCAACTGGCCTGGAGCGACACAGCCACAGAGTGAACGACTGATTTTGTTTGGGGGATTGGCAGCCAGGAAACCGCAATCCCCCAAACACAATCAGTTTGTGGCTACTTTGCTGCTGTGTTCACCTACAAATTCATGTGGACGTCAAAGATTTTGTGACACGACGGGAAAACGCAGGCAGACGGGATCTGGCAATACACTGTTCCCTCAGCACTGCATTGGAGTGTTCTTGCCTCCTTCAAGTCCTGTCTAAAGACCTTCCTCTTCGATTGTGCCTTCTGAGCCTGGAGCTGTTGTACCTTTTTCTGGTAGATGGCGATCCAGTCTGTGATGGCAAACCACTTGTGGTTCTTGATGTCGTTGACGCCGTTCTTGAGATTCCCGAACCGTTTGGTCAGGTCAACCTGCAGCAGGTTTCGCAGCAGGTCCTTCAGGTCTGAGCTGAAATGAGACGGAAACCGGACCTGAAGGGATTAAAAGGAAGAACTTGTTACTTGTGCCCTGCTCGCTTGCACATGGTGCCTCACACCAGCTCTGGTCAAGATCAAACACCTTCCGTAAGCAAGACCGAAGTCTAGAGATTCAAGGCCATTTGGCCCATCGTGTCTGTGTCTTACCCTCTTACCCGCCTCCTCACGACGTGAAAGGCGCTATACAAATGTAATCTTGTTGTTGTTATTACCCCTCCTGATCCCAACCACCAGCTCGAGTGCAGATCCCTGACTGTCCAGCACCTTGGGACGTCCTCCCGACGTGAAAGGCGCCGTGTCAGTGTCATGTGGTGAAAGTGTTGTTGTGTCATTCCCTCAAGAGTGCGACCTAGTAGTGTGGGGATGGGAAGCCATTCGTCAGAACATGTCCTCCCGATGTGAAACGTACAGTTTTGCTGTGAGTTGTTTTGCTTACCTTCCCAGAGACTATCTTCTCATAAATCTGAATAGGCTGGTCTGCAAAAAATGGGGGGTAACCAGCAGCCATTTCGTAAATGAGGACCCCTAACGCCCACCAATCCACAGCTTTGTTGTAGCCCTGAGAAAGAAACCATGGATTAAACAAATACACCACTGAAAACCATCCCAGAGGCCCCCCGTCTCCCTCCCTCCCCTTATTCAAGGTCAGTCTCAAACTGTCCTGGGGCATCTTTGCGACAGTGAAAGGTTCTATACAAGTATCATTTGTTGTTGTTTGACTGTGTTTTTGGTCACCTCTCGCCCCACAGCTCGGGTGCCCATTATCAAGCACTTTGAGACGTCCTCCTGACGTGAAAGGCGCTGTGCAAATCTCAATCGTATTGGTATTGAAAGCTTTATGGAGCGACAGATGGTGAGAAAGGACGTAAAAGACATAAGCGCAGCTATTCAGTCGGACAGACAGGGACACAGAGCTGTGCACGTGTAGCAAATGGAACACGCGGACACTCTGTGAACCCTTCACCTCCCGGGAGAGTCACAAACCAAACCACCTTCATATTATTTGTGAAGTGATCGGAGGCACTGGAAATAACAACAACAACAATAATAATCCTGGCATTTGATACAGCGCCTGATCACGTCTTTGAAACATCTCAAAGCGCTTCACAGGATATACTATAGAGTTCAGTGACTGTGTGCTTCTCAAGCTTTTTGACACCAGTTTGTCTTAAAAATTGTGCAGATTGTGGGAGAATTCTTAAATTGAGTCTGAATTTGGAAGCTGATTCTTCTTCATGAACGGCGGAAAAAGCGGCTTCTAAATTGACAGCCAAGTGTAAGAATGTGTAAAAGTTTTCCACAATGCTGCGGGTTTTACATGTTAAGAATGAGGGCTGAGGTGTGGGGGAGGCTGATGTGGATGGGAAGCTTTACGCTGTGGGAAGCTCTTACCTTGCTGAGGATGATCTCAGGAGCCAGGTATTCGGGAGTCCCACATAGCGTCCAAGTTCTGCCCTTTACTCTCTTGGCAAAGCCAAAATCTGTCACCTACCATGTTGAGAAATAACAGTCTGAGCACAGAAATAACAGAAGGGGCACATGTGTGTGGTGTGTGTGTGTCTAGTGTGGTGTGTGTGACTGAGTGTGTATGTGTCAGTTGTGCATGTGAGTCTGTGTCGTGTGTGTGTCAGTGATGTGTGTGAGTGAGTGTGTATGTGTCAGTGGTGTGCGTGTGTGCGTTGTGTATGTGTCAGTGGTGTGCGAGTATGCGTGTATTAGTGGTGTGTGTAATTGTGTGTGTGTGAATGTGAGTTTGTTTGTGAGTGTGTGAGTGAGTATGTGGTGTGTGTGTATTTGGTGTGTATGTGTGTATTTGGTATGCGTGTGTGTGTGTGCGCGCATGTGGTATGTATGTGTTCTGTACCTGGATGTATCCATATTGGTCGATCAGTATGTTTTCAGGCTTCAGGTCTCTGTAGACGAGGTCGAGTGAGTGGAGGTATTCGAAGGCAAGGACGATCTGTGATGCGTAAAACCGTGCGTGAGGTTCACTAGAAACAAGAGAAATGTAATCAACAACAACAGCGTGCACTTACACAGCATCCTTCACTCAAAGAGGAGAGGCGGGGGGGGGGGGAAGGCGGAGGGATTGAGGCAGAGAGTTCCACTGTCTCCCCTCCACCCCACTCTCTCCCTTGACTACTTTCCTCGTATCGTCCTGAAGTGCTAGACACTTGGTTGGTCGAGTGTTGAATATTAATTTGAGAGCAAACTGCTCAGTGACTGAAATCAACATAAGAATCTACCTGATGAAAGATGAACAAGGTCTATCCAGCTCGTCTTCCACCATCCTGGCAGTCGCTTGACATGTTGTGCCCCAAACTATACCCTGAAGCCCCAGATATTATCTCCCAACAGAAATCAATCTTGTTTGTTCAAAAATCGACACTTTCTGCTTCCATCGTCGGTCGGTCGATCGGTGTCTCCCTCCCTCCCTGGCGAGCCTATTCCACACGTTTACAGCTCGCACATGTTTGTTTTGAATTGATTCCCCCCACTTCAATCACAGGCTGTGTCCTCTGGTTGTGCTGTTTGGTCCTGTCACTCAGACACGTGCACCAGAGACTACACAAAATACACAGTCACTACACTTTACAGTATATTCCTGTAGCTCAGTGGTTAGAGCACTCGCTTTGCGAGTGAGAGACCTGAGTTCAAGCCCAGGCAGAGGGCGAAACCTTGGGCAAGTTCCCTTACTCCACACAGAGCCTAATAATAATCCCTCCAAAAAAAAACAATAATAAATTGGTCATTTTCAATCTACGACTGTTTGTGGGACATTGCTGTGCGCAATTGGCTGCCGCGTTCGCCCACAAATATAGTCAATTCACTTTACAGTGTGTTCTGTGAAGCGCTTTGGGACCTCCTCCCGACGTGAAAAGCGCTATATCAAATGCCAGGATTATTATTATTATTCCATGAAGCGCTTTGAGTCGATTCGAAGACGTGATAAGGCGCTGTATGAAATGCCAGAGTTATGTTACACACACACCCCCACACACACATGCTAACCTGAACCTCCCGATTCTCCTTAAATGTGAAAACATCTCTCCTCCTGAAACGTATTCCATCACCATATATAAATTAGAGTTATCCTGGAGGAGAGGGAACAAAACAAGAGACGATAAACACACTGACACAGAGGAACAGCATCAAAGTGCTTCTCAAAGGCAGCAGGGAAAAAAGGGGAATGTTTCGCCTGCAAAATATACAGTCACTAGACTTTACAATGTATCCTGTGAAGTGCTTTGAGTGCCTCGGGTCATCCTCCCAACATGAGGGGTGCCATGTATGTTGTCGTTGGTCATTCACTCCATGGCTGTTTTGTGGGACGTTGTTGTGGGCATTGACTGTGTATCTTGTGGGTGAAATGGGAATGTTGGATATTGTTATTCTATAGGAAAGTGTTTACTCTGTGTAAACGGCACTCTCTTTCTCTCTCTCTCTCTGTTTCGATCGCCTCAAACAGAAATCAGGTGTTTCGCAGTCACAGTCACAGTCTATAAGATGGGCGGCCTCAGTCTCCAGCAGGGCATCTTTCTGACCCATAAATCACATCTCTCTGACCTGCAGCAACCAGCGAGCGGCCAAATGTCATTCCACTCGTTTGTTATTAACAGGATGTGTTTTTTCTTTTTTTTAGAAAACAACCAATAACACGGCTCTGTCTGCTGTGCGGCCGAACGCCATATAATGTGGAGTTTATTTTAGGATCCACTGCAAAGTGTAGTGACTGAACAAGTTATATTGTATATTCTGTGAAGCGCTTTGAGATGTCTTGAGGACATGATAAGGCACTGAATCAAACACAAGGATTATTATTATTATTATTTTACAATGCTGCAAACTTCTCTTGACGACCGTGACCTCTAGATAAAGTTAGAGAGAGGAACTGCGGCACAGGAAATGTCCTATCAGCTCGCAAGATACCAAAGATTAGTCCACACAGGGGATACAAGACAGAAATGTAGGCGTGTGGGCCGCTGAAATCTCACCTTGAACGAGTACTCTAGCCTCACCAGGAAAGGGAAATTGACAGCCTGAAGAATCCTTTTCTCATTCAGCGTGTGTTCAATCTGCTTCAGTTTTACCACCTGTGGCGCAAAGACACAAGTCAGCCAAGACTGGACGCAATTACATCTCAGAACAAAGTTAACACTGCGGAACTCTTCCTCCCTCCCTCTCATAAAGTTACCATCTCCTTTCCCTCCTGCCATGATCTCGCTTCTGCTTCTCCCTCAAAAAAAAATTAATAATAAATTGGTCACGGTCTGTGGGGACATCGCTGGGCACAATTGGCTGCCACGTTTCGCCCACAAAACACACACAGTCCATTCACTTTACCGTGAATCCTGTGAAGCGCTTTGAGACGGCTCGAAGATGTGATGAGGCGCTGTATCAAATGCCAGTATTGCTATTATTATTAGGCAGGATGAGAGGTTCAGGCAAAGGCAGTGGCTTCTTAAAGACCAACGTACACTTTGGCCAGTGTGAGGTGAGCGGGGATCTCCAGCAAGGGGCGCTGCCGCTGTGGTGAGGTTCCATATTAAATCTATTGTCAAATGCTGTTAAATCCCATCCTCTGACCTTCTGTTTGTCGAGGATCTTCATGGCGTAATGCTGCTGTGTGACTTTGTGCTTCACCAGCATCACTCGGCCAAACGACCCTGTGCCCAGGGTTTTTGTTCTTTCAAAATCTTCCAGATTCGCCGTGTTCTGCAAGAGATAAGACTGCCATCATTTATTCACACAGTAATGCCGCACGTCTTCAAACCCGATGCTCCCTTTTCCATTCCCCCCCCCCCGCCATCAGCCTGGCTCAGTGGGTAGCACTCCCACCTCTTGAATCAGATAGTTGTGGGTTCAAGCACCAGGTCAGGATTTGAACTCACATAATAATAATAATAATAATAATAATCCTGGCATTTGACACAGCGCCTCATCACGTTGTCGAGACGTCTCAAAGCGCTTCACACGATACACTGTCGAGCGAATGGATTGTATGTTTTGTGCCACTTGGGGGTGCCCTGCATTGTGGGAGGTGCCGTCCTTCGGATAAGATGTTAAACTATCTGCCTGCTCAGGTGGTCGTTAAATAATCTATTCGCAAAGAGAAGTCAGTTTCTCTTCTCTCTCCTGGTGTGGAGGCCAAGAATTCCCCCAAATAAAATTGATTGTTATTTCACGGCTGTTTGCGGGGTGTCGTTGTGCTCAATCGGCTGCTGCGTTTCACCCACAAAACACACAGTCTCCACTTTGTACTTTATTCTGTGAAGCGCTTTGAGACGTCTCGACGACGTGATAAGGCACTGTATCAAATGCAAGGATTATTATTATAATAAGAACAACAACTTGCATTTATATAGTGGCCTTCATACCGAACGGCGTCTCAGAGCGCTAATAATTAATATTATTCATGTGGTTCTGGAAACCAGATATAACTTGGCGCTAACAGAGTGAAGAGTCGTCAGTTTCTAAATTAAGAAACAAGCACTTGGCTGGGTCAGCGGAGGACAAGTGGCATCAGTATAGAGTGTAGTTGCTGTGCCTGAAGGAAAGTGGAACAAAGACGCCGAGAACGGAAACAACGGCACAGCTCCAGAGACTGTGGGTGCAGAAGCTGAAAAGCTCCATCACGGAAGGAGACAGACAGAGCGTGGAACAGGCAACAGAGTAGAGTCCGAAGGAGGAACGGGTTATCATTTTTCTGGGAGTAATAATAACTTTAAAAAAAATAATAATTATAATTTGGTCACTCAATCCACGACTGTTTGTTGGACGTTTCTGAGCGCAATTGGCTGCTGCGTTTTGCCCACAAAATACAGTCACTACACTTGAAAGTGTATCCTGTGAAGTGCTTCTCGAAGACATGATAAGGCTCAAATGCCAGGACTGTTATTATTAATGAAAACCATTAAGTATTGAAATGTAATAAGAACAAATGCATGGTGAAGCAGACACCAATAATCCTTGCATTTAACCCATTTAACCACCTCCTCCTCCCCCTGGCTTGGAGTCAGGCTCCGCCACTGTTAAGCTCTCTGAGACTCGACCCTGCATGGAGGGCGCTGTATAAATGCAAGTTGTTGTTATTGTATATCAGGATGTATGTCTATGTACCACACATTACCACACGTGTTGCTGCTGTATCTCTCTGGGGGAAAGGCATGACCTACCTGTGTCGGACTCTCCCATTTCCGTAAGAACTCCTCTTTGGCTTTCTCTAAGAATTCTTTCACTGTAACACAAGAACAGAAAAACTTCAGCATCTGAGCGCCCGCTTTCATCCTCAACTACACCCAGTGACCATTAAACGTACATCAGAACTTCAGGAATGCCTCGCCATGCAACCAGAGACAAAGTACCTTGTACAGAGTTCACCCAAACAGGCAGACAGGACCTCAATTTAACTTCCCACCCTCTAACCATGGCTCTACCAATGCAGCCCCCACCCCAGCAGCCAAAAGGTTGGTCCCCCCCAGGTCTAGGCTATCGATGTAGTCCAAAGGAATTTTCTTAAGTAAATATCAAAAGGTAAGAATATGTGACTGGGATGAGGAGGAAACACGGTCTGTATCAAAACTGGTCTTTAAACCACCGATTTTTACTTTGCTGCCAAGACTAGCCAAAGGGACAAGAGAGAGACAAGTTCTCCATCCAGTTTGTGGTCTAACTCTCGAGGGAATGTGACACAGGCCGAGCCTGGTCAAGCTGACACTCTATGGCAGTGTGCAAGTCAGAGTGGATCAGTCCATGATCAGGAGAACTGTTTTGCACGCCCACAAACTCCAGCACAAACTCTTACTGTGAAGAGAAGACTGTGAAGAGATGCCACTCCTACAGTCACTGTGCAGGTGATTTGAGCTGATAGTCCTCTCCCGAGAGTCCCCTCATTGCGTTTGCACATTCTGGCGTTGCAGATATAAGAGTCTGTGCTGGGGATTCACACCCGCGGAGTGAGAGAGAGAGAGAGCGAGAGAGAGGAAGGGGGCTGATCAATCTCAGTGCTTTAGGCAGGGAAACAGCCATGTGCGGGCAGGACACATTAACCCCTGCATTGCTGGTCCGTCATTAAGAGTGTAAGTACACCTCGATGGCTTTGCTCCAGACAGTGAGAGGAGAGAGGCCATTGAGCCCATTTCTACTACAGCCAGACATGTCTATCCTACTGTGGTATGCACCCACTCTCTCTCTCCTCCCCTCCAGGAGAAACACAAATATAAGAAGATTGTCTGTAAGGGAAGATCAGGGAATTGGGATTACACAGCTCTGGCATCAGAAAGTTGAAAGATCTGAAAGAATAGTATAATTGTGAAGCTGGTTCATGGGTCAAATTGGCTATCATGTTTGCCTACAAACTACAGTCACAGCACTTCACAGCAACTCCAGTGAAGTGCTTTGGGACGACCTCTTGACGTGAAGGGCACTGCATCCGATTTCCCCCAAACCAAACGGCTCTCAAAATTCTGATGTCCTGCAGTAGCTCCACGTAATTTACTCACAACAGGTCCTGGATGTCAGAAAACACAATAATATGTACCTTTTTGGGGTCAGCCAGGTATCTGATGTGTACACCGCCCGCCATGTTTAACAGTGTCCAAACCAAACCACTGAAAGTCCCAATATGTATGGCTTCCATCTGCGGGGGATAACCAGCATAACCACAGCAATTTCAAGTGATTGCTACTTTCGCCCACAAAATTCAAGATCAAAACTCACTTTACAGTATATTCTGTGAAATGCTTTGGGACGTCTCAAATACGTGATAAGACCTGTATCAAATGCAAGGATTATTATTATTATTACAATATAGGAACAGTAGGAGGCCATTCAGCCCCTCAAACCTGTTGCGCCATTCTATAATATCATGGCTGATCTGTACCTCAAGTCCAATTACCTGCCTTTGCCCCGTATCCCTTGATCCCCTGACCTAACAAACATCTATCCACCTCAGTCTGGACAATGTGAATGGGTCCAGCCATAATCCACAGCCTATTGGGGGAGGGAGTCAGTGGTGAATGAGACACAGGTGCCTGACGGAGCACATGGACTGTGTGAACACGGCAGCACTGTGTACGTGGGGAGTCAGTCACACAAACATCTTGTGACTGACCATTGGAATTCAGATACATTAATTACAATGCGATCAATAATGTGTATATCTGGTGCAATCAATACTGTCCTTCAGTGAATGACACCCTGGAAAGAATGTCATCTAAAAGGTACCTTTCAGCTCAGGCTCCAATACAAGTATTTACATTGGGCCTTTTAGGAGGTCAACAGCTACAACAACAACAACTTGCCCAGGTCCTCTCGCTTGCGAGGCGAGTGCTCTAACCACTTCGCTATAGAACTCCAGACTAGTTAAGATGAACACATCAATTTGCAGATATAACTGGGAGGGACAAGGAGGGAAAAGGGAGATTTAAGTACATTGACCACGGTTGAAGAGATATGTTCCTAAAAGGGTTTGATTCTGGAAGAACGTTCTAGGGGTCAAAGGTAGAATGGCTGAAGGTTAAGCAATCAATGGTGGATAGATGGAGTAAGGAACCAGTGAAAAACAAACCCAGCCAGAAGAGCAAAGTTGTGGGCAGGAGAAGAGAGTCGGGCTGGGAGAGATTACATAAGAAAGGCCGAGAGACCTTGATGGGATTTGAAGGCAAGGACGAGGATCTTAAAGTCAATTTGCTGGGGTAATGGGAGCCAGCAGAGCTTAGAGAGGTTGGGAGAAACAGCTGTGTGGACCCTAGAGCAGGAGAGAACACGAGCTGCAGGATTTACTGACAGTGAGACTAAGAGGACTGGTGAAAAGAGCATCTGAAAACGTGCCAAAGACATGAATGTTAGCAGCAGCGTGTGTGTGTGTGTGTGTGTGTGTGTGTGAGAGAGACTGTGTGAATGTGTGAGAGAGTGAGTGTGTGTATGTTACTGTGAGACTGTGCATGTGTCAGTGTATGTGTGTGTGAATGTGTGTGTGCGCGAAAGAGTGCGTGTGTGTGCGCGAGTGTATGTTTGTGAGGGTGTGTGAATGTGTCTGTGCATGCGCCAAAGAGTGAGTGTGTGCGCGTGCGAGTGTATGTGCGTGTGCGCGAGAGTGTGTGTGTGCGGGTACGAGAGTGTGTGTGTGTGCGGGCGCGAGTGTGTGCGTGAGAGTGCATGGTTGTGTGTGAGAGTGTGTGCATGTGGGGCGGGGTGCTTCAGGGAACATGTATCCAGACATGGGGCCTCAGTGAATGAATGCTGTGATCTGGCCCAGAACGTTGATACAGCGCGGCAGAGTGCTCGATAGTGACGGAGCACGACACAAAGCCGGGGTGGGGGGAGGTGACCGTACACGGACGAAGAGGAAGGCCTTCAGCAGGGGGCAAACAAAGTGGAGGGATTGTGGGTGAATGTCCCAGCAACAAAGAGCTGTATTGGCTCCGACCCGCTCTGCGGGATGTACAGGACTGGGAGTGAAGCCCGAGAGAATGGTCAGGGAAAGGTTAGCCCATCTCCTGCCCACTTGCGCTCTCTTGGAAGTGATCTCACGTGACTTACGATGGGGTTTTGAACTGTTGCAGCATTTGATCAGCAAAGCAGTGGGGATCACAGAGACATTCACAACAGACCATTAAGAGAGGTCACGGTGGGGAAGCTAAAATTAGACCGTTTGAACTGAAATCCGTCCAAAATTCTCCAGCTCCAGAAACAGTTCCCAACATTGCTAATACATAGCAGGCCTCTAGCCAGCCAACCCAGCCTGGATCTCACATCACATCACCGACATCAATTTACAGCCGGAGCACGACAGCCAGCTCACTGCATCCGAGTGATAGATAGTTCATTAGAACAGACTTGCAGGGAACGTTCACAAGTCTGTGGAGATTCTCAAAGGATCACTCAATCCACCGCTGTTTGTGGGACGCTGCTGGGCGCAATTGGCTGCCGTGTTTCGCCCACAAGGTATACAGTCACTACCCTTGACAGTATACTCTGAGAGGTGCTTTGAGATATCTCAACAAAGGCGCTGTATAATAATAATCCTGGCATTTGATACAGCGCCTTATCAGGTCTGCAAGACGTCTCAAAGCGCTTCATAGGATATACTGTAAAGTGTAGTGACTGTATTTTGTGGGCGAAACGTGGCAGCCAATTGCGCACAGCAGCGTCCCACAACAGACGTGGAGTGTGTGACCAATTTATTATTATTTTTTTGAAGGGATTATTACCCCTGGAAAAGCAATCGGTCAATCGACTAACAAGCGGGTTCCTACTTGCTGCTGATAAACAGAGGGGTCTGTGTGTGTGTGTCTCTGGAATGTGTGTGTCTGTGTTTCTCTGTGTGTCTCCGTGTGTGTGTCTGTGTCTGTGTCTCTGTGTGTGCGGAGTAAGGAAATGATGTGAGGCTTGAACCCAGAACCTGTGACTTTGAGGCAAATGTTGCCAACAACTGAGCCAGGCTGACATGCAGGACTCACATTAATCTGGAGAATTTTTGGCTAGAACACCGGGAGAAACTCCCTTCTCCTTGCAAATTGTGTCAAACGCTCGAATGTATTCGACCTACAGAAGGGTCGCTATAACAGGCGCGAGACATCAAATTGTTCAGAAATTCTGCAAATGTTGTCTAATGAATTCTATCAGTGGCTGCACAGTGTGAACACAGATCAAGGCATCAATTTCATCAGAGGCAAGAAAATGACACTGATCCACACTCCAGAGGACGGCTGCAGAAATTCCGTAAAACAACAACAATAATAATCCTTGCATTTGATATAATGGCTTATCACATCGTCGAGACATGTTAAAGCACTTCACAGAATATATATATATATATATATATATAAATAAAAAGTGTCACTACCTCTCATGGTATCCCTTTGGACAAGACATTAACCTAGGTCTCGCTTACCCGTTTATGTGGAAATTAAAACAAAAAGGGAGTTTCTACGGTTGTCCTGGCCAACAAACACCCAGATAATTGGTCATTTGTGGCACCCGCTGTACGGAAATGGGCTGCCACATGAGCCTAGAAAGAGACAGACTGTGTGAGTTCAAGTCCCAATGTGGGGCTTGAACCCAAATACCTTCTGACTCAGAGGCAAGCATTCCACCAGCTGGTGTAAGCCAGCCATCGATGATAATAATAATAATAAACCTTGCATTTGATACGGCGCCACATCATGTAGTCGAGACGTCTCAAAACACTTCACAGAATACACTATAAAGTGTAGTGACTGTGTGTTTTGGACACTGATGGAATGGATTGCTACATCACTACACTTGACAGCACTTACCTGGAGAGAGCCCTGACACTATCAGATAGATATCAAATGGCAGGATTTTTGTTTTAAAAAAAACGACACCAATTGTAACCTCTACTGGGCCGTTGTGGAGAACAAAATGTCAGAAAAGCCTTGGTTCTCACATGGTGACAATGTGTGATCGATCGCGTGTAGCCTCGAAGCACTGATCAATACGAGGCAGATTCCCGCCTCAGTGGCAAACGGCAAAACATTTCATTAAAAGCTACCAACGTGGCATTGATCAGGAAGAGGTCATTGACACGAGAGGAATGGACCATACAAAACAAATAAAAACTTTGAGAGGGAAAGGATTGGAGGCAAACAATTTATAGCACACAGCTCTGGCTAGCAGTTACACAGCCCTGAGGAGAGGTAAAGCAGAGTCCAGATGAGAGATCAACCTCTTATGGACGGCCATCTGTTAGTGGGGCTCTCTCTCTTGGTTTGAAAATTAAGCAATAGCCTTAAGCACAGTGAAAGTGCCTACTGGCACAGAGCGAGAGGAATGTTGGAGACACTGATTAGCAAAGGCATGAGGCCATGAGGCCACGGGAATTCTAGTGATTGAATGACTCCAGTTAGGATGACATCAAGCTCCACGTCCACAACACAAACAGATTTTACCGAAGCCACGTTCCGTCCCCGCCAGCCGGTGGGATATACTTCCAGCTTCTTCACTAAGGAATCCCAACAAAATCCCACTTTATATAACCACCTAACTGTGATCTCCTAACCCACCAACCTGCCCACTCCCTCCGCTCAGCATGCTCTGATCTGCTTCACGTTCCCCAGCCCTGCCCACACCACCATGGACGGGTGGATCTTCAACCTCTCTGCCCCCACCCTCTGGAACTCCATCCTGTAGTCCCTCTGCCTCACCCCCTCCCTTGCCTCCTTCAAGTCCCGTCTCAAGACCCTCCCCCTCTTCGACCCTGCCTTCGGTCACCCTCCTACCCCCATCCACCCCACCCTCCATTCCTCCTGATCCCAATTCCCAGCTTGGGTGTGGATCCCTGACTGTCCAGCGCCTTGGGACTTCCTCCTCATGGGAAAGGCTGTGAATCAATCGAACATAAAATGCTCTTAAAACTTGTCATAATTCAATTAAATTGAATAAACTGAATAAACTAACTCCCTTCACTACAAGTCACTAAAATAAACTTAACAATTAACATATTAAAATAATTGTAAACTAATTGGCCCTGTTCATGAGAATCACTAATACCCAGGATTCTGTCAGCCGATGCACATTTCTTATTTACTTGGAAGACTTAACTAACTGAGGAGGGAACATATATATTCTGTCAAACAACTATATGAAAGGGAAACTAAAAGCTTTAACTCACTCATATTTCCTCAAGTTTTGCTCTCAGATTGTGGCACCATCTCACCTCTGGATTACATCAGTCTGTCGTGTATAAATAAATATATAAAACATTTGTGAGGGTTTTGCAAGAGGTTAAAAAGCACTTACAGTAAAATGTCAGTATTGGTGGCCTTATTAATACCTTATACATGGTGTGGTTTATCCTCCCATTACACCCTGTGGTCAGACAGTGACAGAACCTCAGCCACTGATCCATGGCAACTTTGCTCTGATCTGATCTACTTTCACAGCGAAGTTCAGTCAGGTCAATGTGACACTTCCTGTTGCTAGGAATCTCTTCTGGGATTCCTCATTAAAGAATCCTGCTAGAGACGGCCACACAAACCCATCGCGGATTCACTGGAATGTAAGAACAGCCTTTAGCCTATCTCCCTCTCCCCTCCTTTCCTGGCTTCACTGGCTCCCCGTCCCCCGAAAAAGGTCAGCCTTTCTGCCCCCACACACTGAAACTCTATCCCTGGTGCCCCTCCAGCTCACACTCCCCCTCCCTCGCCACCTTCAAGGCGCGTCTGAAGACCTTCCTCTTCAACCACACCTTCGGTCATCCTCACACCCCCCACTGCCCTCCACCCCTCCTGACCTCAACTCCCAGCTCAGGTGCAAACCCTTCAAAGTCCAGCACCTTGGGACGTCCTTCCAACATGAAAGGCTCTGTGTAAATGCCATGTGTTGTTGTTGTTGGTGATGAGGTTAAAAGTGAAACCAGGCAAACATAAAACCATGAAAGTGGAGCTGAGAGGAAAGATGGTGGAGAATACAATGGTCAGCAGTGTTGAAGGCAGCAGAGATCGAGAGGGAATGGCAGGAGAGGGAAGAGCGAAGCTGGGAAGCAACGACTTGTTCCAGGACCTTGAGAGAAAGGAAGGTTGGAGATAGCACGATAGTTAGAGAACAGAGATGGGCCAAGAGACTAATAATCCTTGAATTTGATACAGTGCCTGATCGTGTCTTCGAGACGTCTCAAAGCGCTTCACAGAATACACTATGAAGTGAATTGACTGTATACATTTTTTGAGGATGGGGGCGATGATGACTGTTTTTCAGGGAGTTGGGAACAGTGCCAGTGGGCAAAGAGAGATTGATGATATCTGTTAGTGGCATTGAGCGGTGGGGGGGGGGGGGGTAAACAAAGACTGATTGTTCACCAGGGGAGGAGAAAGTTACAGGGAGATAAAGTGCATGTTCATGTAATCATGGCAACTAATTGCACCCAACAACGATCCAATCCCTAAACAATGGGATGAACAGTCCATCAAATGAATGAATGTGAATTTGGGGTGAAATCTGGATGAGGAGGGAATGAGAAGCCTGTATAACCAGAAGGAAATCTATTGATAGATAGCGTCAGTTGGGAGACTGCTGAGGGAGGAACAGTATTTGGATTAAAGGCCTGCAAGTCCGAGAGTGATAGATAATCAGTAATACCCCAGGGTCTCCTCAGGCAAACTGGTAAAACAGGATACTGTGGCTGTACTAGAGAGAATCGTGAGCTTGCTGTTAACAACTAAAGGTGTTTGCAATGGGTGTTCCATCAAATCCCTGGGATCGATGCTGGGGTTAATTAGTTGCCGTGTCTACCTTCACTTCATCTCATCTCCCTCTGCCTCCCTCCTCCTCACCTTTCCCAGTACATTGACACTGACACCCAACGCTGCCTTCAAAATGGTGTGATGTGACTGTGAGGTGATATCCCACCCCATCTGGTCTCCACTACGAAAAAGCACAACAAAAATTTGCATTTATACAGAGCCCTTCATATGTGTTGACGTCCCAGAGTGCTCGATAGTGGTGGAGTCTGAGGGAGGGGTAAAGGTGGAGGGTTTGAGGGAGAGATTCCAGAGTTTCGGGGCTGAAGGCACGGCCACCGATGGTGGAGCGTAGGACAAATCCAAAGACAGTGACTGTTTGCAGATCTGTAATCACACTATAGATTTCTATACCTAGAGGTATCCACTGTAAGTGAATTTAAATTCACTTAAACACTGTAAGTGCATTGGATTGTTTGAGTTACGGTAATGGACAGAGAGAGGGAGGGAGGTATTAAAGGTGTTACCGGCCATGTAGACTTGTCGTTGTGTCCGCTCCCCCTCTCAATCTCTTCAGGAATAAAAAGGAGCCAGACTCAAAACTAAACCAACTACACGAGCAAACATTCACACATACTGCTGTAATCATTAATGCCAACCTCTGATCCAATTTAATACACCCACGCCTCCCCCAAGAATCAGAGAATATTACACCACAGGAGGAGGCCATTCAGACCATTGTGCCTGTGCCGGTTCTTTGGAAAAGCTTTCCAATCAGTCCCACTCCCCTGCTCCTTGCAAGTTTATCCTTTTCAAGTACCTATCCAATTCCCTTTTCAAAGTTGTTATTGAATCTGTTTCCAAGAACAGGAGTAAAAATGCAAAGAGACAACTTAAAAAAGACATTCCACAAACCACTGCCTCCGAAACGCCAAGACACGAGGTACAGATAACATGTTATCATATCAGCTCACAGACCCACCGCAGGCTGACACACTCAATGGCCTCTCTGTCATTGTGAACCCACCCATCCTCCACACCCCAGACCTCAGTACGTTTCCACACTAATCTTCAGCTGGGATGTGGATTGTCACATACAGAGTGTCACTCACAGCCATTTTAGATGGAAGCAAATTACGATATAATACAATAACAAGTTGATTTATACAGCGCCCTTCTCGACGGACAGCATCTCGGAGCGTTTATTATATATATGCGTGTATATAATAATCCTGGCATTTGATTACAGTGCCTTATCACTTCGTTGAGACGTCTCAAAGCGCTTCACAGGATACACTGTAAAGTGAATTAACTGTATTTTGTGGGTGAAACACGGCAGCCAATTGCGCACAGCAGCGTCCCACAAACACTCGTGGATTGAGTGACCAAATTATTATTTTTCTTTGAGGGATTACCCCCGGAAAGCGATCCACCAATCGACCAACAAACAGGTTCCTACTTATTGCTGGATAAACAGTGGCGTGTGTATGAGTGGAGTAAGGAAGCTTGCCTAAGGTTTCTCCCTGACCCGGGTCCTCTCGCTTGCGAGGCAAGCGCTCTAACCACTACTCTACAGGAGTTAAGATACAGAATGCACCAGCAAATGCTTCTCCTCAAAACATGCCCACAGTGAAGCTCCCCTGACGGAGCCCCCGCTGTACTAACCCACACACAACGAGTCAAAAGTGAGGGAAGCTGCAGGCGGCGACACTGACGACCCAGTTCCTTCTTACCGTTCACGGTGCTTTCAGCCATCCCGTTCCTTTAGGGCGACTTGTGAAGCGATGCCACCCCTCCTCCTCCTCCTCTTGGCTCCTGTACGATGCCCGGCCGCCCGCTCTACAGCATGTTCAGCGCCTCGGCTGTGAGTGAGACTTTGCCCCACAACAGTGTAAACATTGATGTGTGTGCAGCTCACACCCGGTCACTCCGCGGATCACGCCTGGAAACCCAGCACAATCCGGCCCCAGGTCACGGCAGCAATCTCTGCAATCAACTGCTTCCAACTTTCCCAAACGCAATCAGATCAGGGAGCGAAGTGCCCAGAGAGAGGGGAACAACAGCAACAGCTCAGACAGTCGCATATCTCCTCTGAATGGCTTTCGTTGGGAGACTAGAGCAGGGTCAGCACAACATACACAGCGAAGAGAGAGGGAGAGAGAGAGAGAGAGCAGAGAACTGTCACAACACAGACTCTGCTGCTTACCACATAGAGTGTAGCACGTGACAGTCACCCAAAGAACATCAACCCCTCCCTCTATCCTCCGCAAGCTGTGCGGGTATTCACATGGCAACCCTGAGAGTGACTATATTTACACTGGACACCCTGGCTCTGCCGGCTTCACATGCTGACCACGGGTCAAGAACAGCAGCGAAGAGACAGGACAGGGGAGCTCAGACAGAGCCAGCCCGCCACCCCCCCCCCCCCCACACACACACACACACATCCACCCACTCCCCCACACACCCACTCCCCCCCACACACACATCCACCCACATATCCACCTACCCCACCCCACCCACACACCCACCCACTCCCCCACACACACACACTCCCTCACACACACCCACTCCCCCACACACACACACTCCCCCACACACACCCACTCCCCCACACACCCACTCCCTCACACACACCCACTCCCCCACACACACACACCCATCCACCCCCCCCACACACCCATCCACCCCCACACACCCATCCAACCCCCACACACACCCATCCACCTACTCCCCTACCCACACATCCATCCAGCCCCTCACACACACACACACACACATCCATCCACCCCCCCACACACACCCATCCACCCCCACACCCTCCCACCCCCACCCACTCATCCACCCCCACCACACTCCCACACCCACATCCACCCCCACCCCCCACACCCACTCCCCACAAACCCCCCTCCCACACACACACCACTTCGTATCGTAACATCACAAAAGCACCGGCTCTCGTTACATACAGGGAAATGGTTCCAGGAAAAAAGGACATATTCCCTCAAGTAGAATTCTCTTACATCTTGGCAGCTCACGATGCAGCCGAGCGGTGACTGCCCTGCCCAGGCTGTGAGAGTCTCAGATCACTTTCTGTCCCCACCCTCTGGAACTCCATCCCACAGCCCCTCCACCTCACTCCCTCCCTCGCCTCCTTCAAGACACGTCTCAAAACCCTCCTCTTCGACCGTGACTTTGGTCACCCTCCCACCCCTCTTGAAAAATAATAATAATAATAATTTGGTCACTCAAACTACGGCTGTTTGTGGGACGCTGCTGTGCACAATCGACTGCCGCGTTTCACCCACAAAATACAGTCAATTCACTTTACAGTGTGTCCTGTGAAGCACTTTGAGATGTCTCAAAGACGTGATCAGGCACTATATCAAATGCCAGGATTATTATCATTATTATGACCGCTTGTAATAAATAACAACAATTCTCACATTTAACACAGCGCCTTCCACATGACCGTCACATAAAACAGTCACTACACGTCACTGTATTTACTGTAAACACTTTCAGACATTTCAGGCACTATGAAAACGCAACTTCCTTTTTTTGTAACTGCCAGAAAGTTGTGGGTTCAAATCCCACTTTTGTTAACAAACGTGGCAACTTCCCGAAAAACAGCCCCAGACAAATGACTGACCAATTTATTTGAAGGACAATTCACGGGGACACTGGAAGCTTCTCCTCTTTTCAAATGCTATCACTGGATGTGTAAAATCCACCAACAGATGGTCAGATTATAGGCACAACAGGCGTGGGATTATAGTCCTCAAAGGCGGGTGATCTCCTGACCTATAACGACACGTCACATCTGCCTTGTCTTAGGAGGGAAAATGAGCTTGAAAACCCTCTGCTGCTCCTGTAACTCAACAAAGGACAGTCATTGTATCTCTGGTCACCTCACGCAATCTATCAGGATCAAGTCATCGACCTGAAATGTTAACTCCCTTCCCCCTCTCCATGGATGCTGCCTGACCTGCAGAGTGTTCCCAGCCACGTCTGTTTTTAATCCAATCAGGATAAGACTGTACCATTTATTACTATTTATTATTAGTGTTGTCAATGGGCAGAAGGTTCAGTAATCGTTTGTTCATGCTCCTCACGTTAAGCGCTCCGGACGACACCCTGCGTGAGAGGCGCTATGTAAATACAAATTGTTGTTGTTACTCCGTGCAGAATAAAGTGATTCACAATCCAGCTTCGCGCGGCAATAAACCAACACGACACACCCTCTCAACGTGCAGCCCAGTCATCACACAAAACACAATGCAACTGCACAAAAGAATTCCAAGTATGACTACACCCAGACTAAATTAAAATCCCATTGATGGTTGGGAGGACTGGGTCTGAGATCTCGGGGAACACACACCTACATTACCCAGTTACGTCCACATAAATCTTCCTTTATCCTTTGCCTTCGCAGTGCGATAGATTGTAAATCGGAGCATCTCACTCCACTCGATTCGTGGCTCCAGTTACAAATTGCAAACCATTTGTGAAGGTTTTTTTTAATATATTAGCAAATTACTGACAATTCCCGCCTCCCTGGAATAGTGGGGGGGCAAGGCCTTGGTCACTCAGTAAGGAGTCAGATCTCCAAAGTCAAAGACTCATTGCTACTAAACAGCCCTTAAACTACAACAACAAATGACATTTACCCAGCGCCTTCACATCGTACATGGGGAGGATTTGGACCCGAGCTTGGGGTTGGGATCGTGGGGGGGGTGGGAGGGGGGAGGTTGGCCGCAGGCGCGATCGAAGAGGAGAGTCTTGAGACCTGCCTCGAAGGAGGCAAAGGAGGGAGCGAGATGGAAGGACTATGGGGTGGAGTTCCAAAGGGTGAGGGCAGAGAGGCTAATGGAGGGATGGGCAAGGCGGGGGTTGTAGAGCAGATCAGGTCAGTGTATGATCCCAATCACATGCATTGTGAGCTTGCGCAGAACTCGTGCTGTAAGGTGGCAGACATTGTGGCGCGTGTGTGCGTATGCATGTGTGCGCGTGCATGTGTGTGTGGTGTGGGAAACTGCCTGGGACGTTTTGGTGAACATACTACAAAATAAAATCTTGCTTGCACTTCAGATTGTTCTTGAGATTGAAGCAGAAAGATGACACACACTCGCCACAGAGCCCCCGCCCCTACACAGCTTTTGCTGACTTCACATCAATGCTTCCTCTCGAACGGTTCAGACAACAGACACTTTTCCAGCCAAATTGCTGTCAGTTTGTACAAGCGAGTGGAACTCCAGGCTTCCAGCACAACCACAACAACTTACATCTACAGTGCCCTTCGGGATGGGTGGGGGGGAACGGCCCGTAGCGCTCCTCAGTGGTGGAGTCTGACACCGAGCCGGGGGGAGAGGGAGGGGACCGTAAGCACGATCAAAAAGGAAGGTGTGGAGGTGGGATTTGAAAGTGCGGAGGTTTTAGTTTCAGCTGGAGCTAACGCAGCTAATAGCATGGATTATAGCACCCCCTGCCCTCTGCCACAGATCACAACTGCTCACAGTGTGGGCAACTATTTATATCTAGACATACGTCGCTTAACAAGTGATGTCATCTGGCAAAGTTAACTGGAAGCCTATAATCTACATTGTGAGTTGACTGGCGGATCGCTTTTCCGAAGGTAATAATCCCTTGGAAAAAAATGAAAAATAATAATAATTTGGTCACTCAATCCATGACTGTTTGCGGGATGCTGCTGTGCACGATTGGCTGCTGCGTTTCTTCTACAAATCATACAGTCACTCCACTTTACAGTGTATCCTGTGAAGCGCTTTGAGACGTCTCAAAGACGTGATAAGGCTCTGTATCAAATGTGAGGATTTTTCTATTATTACTCGCACTAAACTTCAGACGTTTCACAAATGACAAGCACCATTTGCTGACATGTCTCGTGTATAAATGACTGCTTTACAAGTAAAAAGGGTGTGTATCTCAAGGGGACTGTTTACACGCACGCACACACACACCTCTACAAACATGTGCGAGCATGCGCCCTTACACATACGTATACATATGTATACACACATACACAACTGTCAACCACTGACTTGGTTCGTTCGTTCAGCAAAATCCTCCCAAACAAGCAGCGCGGAGGAACATGGGATGACTTCACTCTGACCTAAAAATAAACAAACATATGATCACAAGGTCAACCAATGGTTCCCATATCATCCCTGAGTTGTCTGTTGATCTCATACTGAAGTCGCTCTCTGGGAGAACCATCAGCGAAGATCACACAATCACTAACCATCGCAGAGCAGAAAGAGGCCAATCAGCCCATCAGGTTCTCATCGCCATGTCTTCCCCCCCCTCGAGCGACTGTGTGTAATCTCCTTGCTCTTACTCATTCCTCACAGCCTTTAATATTTTCTTTTTACAATCATGGCGTTTAAAACAGTTTATTTTAAAAGTGACCCTTATGTAAAGGTGGCCTTGGAGTAAGGTTTCGTTGGTGACGTGTAGAATTAGGCCGGGCTGTTCCAGGGTGGTGGTTGCTGAATGGAGGTGGTTGTTTGAACAGGTTTCACTGTGTATAAAAAAAAGTCTAACCTCTCCTTTAATTCTTTTTGTCGTCTTAAACACATGCCTTCTAGTGAGACTCTCCGACCAGCCAACTTATGCAATCCATGTACCTGGCCTAGTCGCGTCCACCTCAATCAACCCATACCTTAATCTGCTCAGATTATACCGTAAATTGAATTGACTGAATATTTTGTTGGAAAAACGTGGCAGCCAATTGCACACAGCATGGTCCCGCAAACAGTTGTGGACTGAGTGACCAAATTATTATCATTTCATTTATTTATTTTGAAGGGCATATTACCCCTGGAAAAGCGATCCGCTAATCAACAACTTGAGAAATAACAACTAGTATATATATATATTTATATATAGTACTCTTCACGCAGGATAATTCCCTGCTCTTACCCAGTGCCCTCTGCAAATGCTTATCTAATTCCCTCTTAAATGTTGCAACAACTTGTATTTATATAGTGCCCTTCACTTGGGTAGCAGCTCAGAACACTCAACGCTATTCACTGTGGTCAATGAAACTGGTTCAATGGGCCAAATATCTTTCTCCTGTTCCTAATGATTTTAAGACCTACTTCCACCATGCCTTTGGTCACCTCCCTCTTCTCCTTTGCTCAGTGTCCAGCCCCGTTATTGTGCAACGCTCCGAGACACAATCCGACATGAAGGGCGCTGTATAAACAAGAGTTATCAATTTACCAACACGTGAATAATC